ATATCTTAGAGGAGTATTGTGAAGACCAAATGGGGAAATGTGTAGATAAATATGCTGGACTCATTGTTGAATCATAAGTGGCAGTTCCCTCCTCTTGTCTAGGACCTTAATGAGTAAGCCCTGAAGAAAGCTCTGGTCTTCTTTCTAGGATAGCAAAATAAATTTGTGGAGGATTATGAGCAAACAGATTATCTTGTTGATTACGTCTGGGTTCCCAGGGGAGAACATTAATATCTGCTGGAGTCCTGATGGGCAGACCATTGCTGTAGGCAACAAGGATGATGTGGTGACTTTCATTGATGCCAAGACACACCGTTCCAAAGCAGAAGAGCAGTTCAAGTTTGAGGTCAATGAAATCTCCTGGAACAATGACAATAACATGTTCTTCCTGACAAATGGCAATGGTTGTATCAACATCCTCAGGTAAGGGGGACTAGCTTAGGGGACTGTCATATCTTTGTGCTGAGTGCTGTGTCAAATAGAGAGATGATTTAGATGTGAGTCTGTCCTGAGCTTAAAACACAAATAGTAAGAAAGAATCCTAACCTGTCTTAAGTATAGTTGAGCATTATATTTTATATACTTTATATTTTACTGAGTCCTTACAGAAATTCTAGGGGGTTGGTTGATGGTTTGCTTCTCATTTGACAGATGAGAGGTGAGAGGTTACATCAGAAGTCAGCTAGTGTGTGCTAGAACTGGATGCACCTTGAATTATGGCTAATTTGTACTTTTTTTGAGACAGAGTTTCGCCCTTGTTGCTTAGGCTGGAGTGCAATGGCGCGATCTCGGCTTACCACAACCTCCGCCTCTTAGGTTCAAGCTATTCTCCTGCCTCAGCCTCCCAAGTAGCTGGGATTACAGGCATGTGCCACCATGCCTGGCTCATTTTGTATTTTTAATAGAGACAGGTTTTCTCCATGTTGGTCAGGCTGGTCTCAAACTCCCGACCTCAGGTGATCCGCCTTCCTCAGCCTCCCAAAATGCTGGGATTACAGGCATGAACCACTCTTAAAGTTTCAACTTAAATATCACTTTCCCTTCAGGGAAGCTTCCCCGCTACCCCGAGGTTAGAGGTAGGTTAGAGGCTTATTTTCTGTAGGAAGCACTTTTCCTTCTGTATTGTAATTGCATGTTTATTTGCCCATGTCTCCTGTTGGACTGTGATTTCCATGATGATAGGGACAGTGTTTGCTTTGCTTAGTGCTGAATCCCTAATGTCTAGTCCTGTACCTGCTCCATGTAGTAGGATCTTAGTAAATATTTGTTCTCTAAATGAATGTAATTGTGGAATTGAAATTCAGGTCTGTTCAATTCCAGCCCTCCACTATCCTATGTGAGCAATGCAAGGTCAAGTGAGATAGGTTCTGTGAGAGAAAGGCCAGGAGTTTGCTGTGGAATTACAAGGAAAGAACATACATACCATATCGGGAGGTTGAAGGAGGCAGCTCGTGAGCTTGATCTGAAAGGTGAGCAGAATTTTAAGAACTGACAAAGCAGGCATGAGTGAGCATGACTTATTTGAAGAGTGGCTAGGTCAGGGTTGTTGGGGTGTGGTAGCAGATAAGGGAAATAAGAGAGGGCATGATAATGGGAAGATGAAATCTAATTTGGGACTGGATTATAAAAGGCCTTTAATTTTATGCTTAGTATCTTGGATTTTATTTTGTAGGCAGTGGGGATTCTATCACTTTTTAAGAAAAACCTTTTTATTATAAAACACAGATATTGAAAACCACATGTATANGGTGTTGTGAGCTGGGAGCTCGGCATGGCGGCGCCCACTGCACCCATGGGGCCCTCGGCATTGGGCCAGACCGGCCCCGGCTCGATGGCCCCGTGGTGCTCAGTGAGCAGCGGCCCGTCGCGCTACGTGCTTGGGATGCAGGAGCTGTTCCGGGGCCACAGCAAGACGCGCGAGTTCCTGGCGCACAGCGCCAAGGTGCACTCGGTGGCCTGGAGCTGCGATGGGCGTCGCCTAGCCTCGGGGTCCTTCGACAAGACGGCCAGCGTCTTCTTGCTGGAGAAGGACCGGTTGGTGAGCGGCTGGGGTTCGGCCCAGGCTAGGTAGAGGGACTGCGGTGAAGCGAGATGCGGTAGTGGGAGAGCGAATGGGGGCGAACGAGGCCGCGGGAGTGATAAAGGAGAGTGGGCTTGAAGAAGGACGAGGAGAGTGTGGAGATGTGGAAGGAATGGGGAGAAGGCGGAGTGTGGGGCTGACGGGGTCGTGAGGATGAGGAGAGGAAGACTGGGGGAAGTGTGGAAGTAAGGAGGTTGGCGATCGCGGATGAAGGTGAGGAGAGGGTGTATGGGACCGGGCTGCGGTGGACATCCTTACTTGTGTGGAGTCGAATCGTGTGCTGATAAGGAGTGACTAGGGGCTGTATTAGTGGTGGTGAAGAGGGCCCTTTTGGAAGTGATAGGGCGTCCCGTGGGAATGAGCGGCTGGGTTAGGAACGTTGATGGTAGAGTAAGGGTGAAAAACCAGGAAGGAGGAGGAGGCCAGAGAGGGCACAAAAGTAAGGGCATAGGTGTATAAGCTCAGAGCAACAGAAGGACTGGGGGACAGAGAAGGGAGAAAGGGCTTGGAAGAACTGGATTCTGAGTTACCCATATCTATAATTATTAATCCCAGCATACCTTTGTTTGAATAAGGTTAAAAAGTCACATGGGGAGGCATCTACATCTATGTGAAGTGACATCTGGATGCTGTTCTTTCAGGTCAAAGAAAATAATTATCGGGGACATGGAGATAGTGTGGACCAGCTTTGTTGGCATCCAAGTAATCCTGACCTATTTGTTACGGCATCTGGAGATAAAACTATTCGCATCTGGGATGTGAGGACTACAAAATGCATTGCCACTGTGAACACTAAAGGTGACTCTTTAGAGAGAGAGGGTAATAGGAAGATAATTGCTTGTATTCATTCATAGTACTCCGCTGTGTATGTGACATTCTGAGCTGAATAAGAGTTTCCATCTCCAAGGACTTCCCCTGCAGGAGAGAGACATATGTATATAAATAACGTATTTTATAATGCAGAGGTCTGCAAGGCAGATACCCAGAATAGAAATGAAAACAAACGTCTGCCTAGGGGAGCCAGGGAAGGGCTCACCAAATTTGAGCAAACTCTTAGGATAGCCATAGGAATTTAGTGGTCTGGGTGCAGTGGGTGAGTAATGGGGCGGAGGGCACATCCTGTGCAGAGGCATGTAGAATTTGGAAAATCCTGATGAGTTAGAATGGTTGAAACCTGTCTTGGTGGTCTGGGAAAAAGTGACCAGAAAGTTGTGCAGTACATTTATAGGCTCTGTTATAACTGTTGAGGCCATTATTGTATGGACTCTAAGGTTTCATTGATCATAAGATGCTCCATTAGGAAAGAAAGTTGGTAGGTAACTGTGATGCACCCAAATTTTGAAATGCTTCCTTATACATTTAAAGGTATAGTATAGATATTAAAATGTGAAAAAAATACGTGCTTTAGAATGGAAAAAGTTGATGAGATTTTTAGTTGATGTGTTCAGTGTGGGCCACTGGACTTTGTTGACAAGACACTGGAGGCAGAATGGTGTGGCGTTTTCCCCAAGTATACAGCTGCTGATGCATGAGTGATTCAGGGTGAACATTAAAAACCACTTATGTAAATATTTTAATGTCTACTAGAAGAACTA